ATCATTTCTGTAAGCGTCATACATTAGATACATTGATATGTTCCCTCGACAGAGTTCAATCAATCTAATGTGACACCAAGCAAAAAACATACTAGTAACAGTGCAACAGTGCTACCAACCACTCCACCTTCAGACTCAATTTCTAGACTCTACACAAAGCCACCACATGTAAAGTAACCAACGCTGGATGGAGAGAATTAAACAGAGCAAGATGAACGAGACACTACCGCCTCTCTCTCTTCACCAGACTTGATCGATGCAGGCTGCGTGCCAACGCTGATCTAGATGATCTATGCTGCCGTAAGCATTTAGACGCAGCGCATCAATCTGCAGCCAGATTTCAGAGGTAGCAGAAAACAGGTGCAGCCTGAAAATGAGGATAGATAGATAGATAGATAGATAGATAGATAGATAGATTTTTAATGTAAGGACCTGGTGAAAGGTACAAACAATAGAAACAAAGGGAATGGAGGAATGATGAGCATGATGGTGATTTAATCCATATTTTGCACCCGGTTGCTTAAGGCAAAGCAGAAACACAGGCAGGCTGCTCAGACTCCTGAGCCTCTTGATCCAGACAGCTTCCTTTGGGAGCCTGCTGATCAAGAACCCAAGCTCTCCGGCGAACACACGCAAGTCGATCCCGCCGCTTTCAGAATAATCGTTACTGTTAAAAAAAAAAAAAAAGAAAAGAAGAAAAAATGCACTCTGACCTGAATCCTGATAAATTGTTCAGTTCTGGGTAAACAGATGCAGTTTAACTGCACAGAAACACGTAGAGAAAAATGACAGGCTGTACACAAGCAGCAGAGTCTTATTAGCATTCTGCATCCAGACCTCAGCATTCATGCAATTTCCTCAGAGGGAATATTTAGGTTGCCAGAAACATGCTTTCGGCCTTCGCTGTGTGTGTGAGTCGAGTCTCGGAGAACAATGGATCAGAGGGGAAAACCGGCTGTGGGGGTAAAAAAAAAAAATCCTCTCAGAATGCTATTTTTGTCTTTGCATTTCACCAAACAGACAGTAACGACTTTAGCGCTCACCACCAGGAAGCATCTGGAGAGGAATCTCTATTGTCGCAATAGTGATTTAAAAAAAAAAAAAGATCAACAAGCTGTATCTGAAGCTGAGGTCAGGTCGGGTGAAACGGAAATAGAAAAAGCGATTTGATCCAGTTTCACTAGAAAAAGGAATACCAAATAAAAACTCTGAAAGAGGAATAAAAGACAGGGACTTTGATTAATAAAAACAAGTGAAAGGGATACAGGAAAAAATATATACAGTATGATTAAGAGAGATGGAGAGAGGTGAGCACAGCCGGGACTCCTGTCTGGAGAGCGCTCACACTGAGGGAGCTTTCATCCTGCTGCAGACTGTCAGCAAGGTTACGCCTTAAAGAAGTGACAGGATGCCGCCGCTCGCTGAGGGAACAACCTTCGTTTCGTCTGCCAGAACAATGAGGAGCCCACCAACAAGCACGGTTGATAAAGTCTGAGTGTTTGGCATGCAGGAAGCAACGGCGGCGTCAGGAGGAGGAACACGCGTTTTTCAGGCGGAAAAGACGTTCCTCTGTGGCGATGTGCGAAACGGACAGAGAACACGGCCACGGTTTAAAAGGAAAAAATTATTTTAAACCTCCAGAGTACACAGTGGGGTGTTTTTTGTGTGTGTAGAACAGAGTTAGCAGTGACCCTCCCCCACCTGTTTCTGTGTACTGTCAGCCAGTGGGCTTAAGAAAAGGATCATCCTAAAAAAAATAAAATCCTCCATTTCTGAGGAGCAGAAAACAGAAAATTGTTTCAGTTAGTGAAACATTGAGAGACGTCCTCTTCAATCACTGCACAACTATTACAGCAGGATAAAACAAATGAAGAAAAAAAATAAAATAAAAAACTTTCCCTCAGGAACACAGGCCCATCCACAGAGATGGATTTTAACATCATTGAAAAGGCTGAAACAAGTGGTGAAGATCCTCTTTAAACCAGTGCAAATCTATCATTACGTTTCTTTGACATATTTTTCATGTGGTTTTTGTGCATGTTCGCCACTTAGGAACGTTGTATTCCACTCCTTTTTCCTTCACTGCTGGTCGCTCCAGGAAAACAGGCATCCAGATGATGGAGTGCCTACTTTATCAGAGTGGAGAAATGCATTTTGTGACTTACTCATAACTTTCTTTTGAGCGTTCGCTCATTCAGTCGCTACCGCGTCCCCTGCTAATGTGCAGCCATCATCTTAAGGTTTCTAGTGGAAACTTTGTTTATCTGTCTGCTCATAGATCATTTTTGGGGAATGTTGTTTGCTCCTGGTAAGATAAGGCATATTATATTCTTCCAAATTGTTCATTTCTGCCTCTTTGTGACCCGTTTCCATCTCGTGTTTGTTGCTGAAGTAACTGGAAACCAGGCTACACTGTAAAAAAAAAAAAAAATCTCTAATTTACAGTAAAAAAATACCAGAAGCTGAGTTTTACCGCAGCTGCCGTTATTTTACCGACGTTTCTTTTTTCTTTACAGTGACTGTTTTAAAAAATGATTCAACAATATGACAATTTGGGCTGATATCAATATCCAATATTAATTTTAAATAATTATCTTTCTAGAATACCCTCTTGACAAACCGGAGTATTTTGCTGGACACTGATTTTAAATGTAATATTTTTACTACTTTTAGTAGTTGAGACATTTGCCTTCAATCACTTTTTGATGTCAAACCAGGTTAATATCAAAAAGTTTTGCATTTTTACACAGATTAATTTTTAATTTCGATTTGAACACAGTGACACTTTGACTAAATCTCATGCTGCCAAAAGCCTCAGTGACATGAAGAGACCAAATGAAAATATTAATAGATGCTTTAAATCCTAAACACTATTTCAAGCCACACCTTTTAACATGTTGCTGTAGCAACAGTTTTCTTTTTGTTATTTTTTATCTGCATGCTAATGTGTGCAACAATGAACAATAAACCTGGTTGGATTACGCCGGCTAATCCACATGATTTCATTATGGGCTAAAGGCCCTGCTGAAGATTAGACCACTCACAAAGCACAGAGGAGCAAAAACAGACCCACTGGCGCCTGAATATTGGAATATTTGACGAGGGTTTCTCATTTAAAGCATTAAAAACATCCTAAAAAATAAAACGGGGTGTGTAATAAGTCAAAATAGCAAGAAGTAGAATTTGAAAGATGCTTCTTTTGAGACGCAATAGAAAAAACGTTTTACGTTTTATAACTTTATTAACTAATTTTCAATGTCTCTCATTGGGATTTTATGTAATATAGCAGAGTATTGGTTCGTTATGAAGTAGATCAAAACGGATGCATGGATTGAACGTTTTGCACTCGATTTTATTAAACTGGTGATGTCTGAAGGCAGTCTTATTTAGGGGTAGCAGGGTAAAGAGGGGTTAATACCAGACATTTTCAATTCTTATTTTGTAAAGAAAAGAAGATAATTCACACAAAATCCCACTTAAGTGCTTGAAATGCAACCAGATGTGTAAAGATTTAAAGGTTTAATGTTTCTGCGAAGCACAGCATGACACAATTTCAGACATTACAACATACTGCTCTGATTATGCAATAAGTCGCATTATATAAGTGACAACTGACTGACTTTCACTTAAAAATGGGCTAAAGCCTCACGCTGCATGCCAGACAAGTTTTTTGGGGGGGATTTTTTCAGCACAAACTAAACCAGTAAGTAAGTTCTCCTTCCTTACACAATGTTGTTTTTTTGGATGATGCTGTCAGCGTTCATTTGGCTCACGACGGGAACAAGCAAAAGGCTGGCGGGGGGAGAAGGAGACGTCGTTTTCACACGTGGATCGGCCGCCACGAAGCACATCCTCACTGAAAAGCTCAGGAAGAAGAATCTCTTCTATCGTCTGAAAACTGAAACTAAAGCTCCTCTGGACAGAAAACAAGCCTGGTGTCGCTTAAAACTTTAAAACTATAAGTCTTATATTGAATATATTGAGGATCATCGTATTATCTTAAAAAAAGGTGTTTCTTTGTATTTTTTTTTTGTAAAAAGGTAAGTAAGAAGTACAAAGTGAGTTGAAATAGCAGGACTCGAGCATAAAATCTGACACATTATAACACAACAGCCCCAAGGTTGGGAGTCTGGTGGTAACAATTAGTTTGTTGAGACTCGCAGACACGCTGTTTACAACAGTCTTATCAAATGTCCCTCAATCTTTTCAGTCTGCCTCTATATTTTTACTACAAAGACACCCAAAAAACTGAGCTACCCAACTTACTTTGAGTCACAGTTCAGTACAGTGTCTTGCACTGGTTGTTATCTTGAACTTTTTCATTGGTCATCACAAACAGAAGCTAATGTTGTACAATTAACTTTTTGTTTGGAACATAAAAACTGATCCAAGTTGATTAAACATTCAGGCAGAACTGAAATGGATGGGATTGGATGAAGTGTTAGATTGGCCCAGTCAAAGTTCAGACATACATCCAATAGCGAGTCTGTGGTAAGAGCTAAAAGAGAGAGAGAGAGATATATATTACAGTTACCAGCCTGTTCAAAGAGTGGCAGCTGTAATTTCAGCAAAAAGGTGGTTTCACCTCGAGGGGCTGAAAATCAATACATGTCACACTCTCCAGATTTTCATTTTAAAAACATGTCAGGATGCCACGCATCGTTTTCCTTCAATTTCACAACATGTACTATTTTCTGTTGGCCTATCACATAAAATCCCAGTAAAATGGCCATTTGTCCACTATAACGCGTCAAAACGTGGAAAAATTCAAGTTCGACAAATCAGAAGTGCAATAAGCCACAGTTAAACGATTCAAACCAAGCAACAGGACTCCTTCAGCATCTCTCATATGCAGTTCGTTGTGAGCTGCAGATGCCTGCTTCTTAATTGCTCAGTTGGTAATTAGCGGTTGTCTGCTTGGAGTCCAGATTCATCCAACCACAGTCTGTTTTGTTGTTTATTGGTGGAAGGCGGACGATGTGCGGCAAACAGATACTCACGCGCTCTCGGTTACACAGCCTTCACGTGGCAGCGCATGCGGCTGTCAGCGACGTTCCAGCAGGACGCAGGCGGGGGGATGCGTTGCACTTCGTCCTGAGGGCCGGACAAAAGAACAAAGGAGTTTCTCAGGGGACGAGATTAGCTCGGCTGCCTCGAGTGCCATCATTATCAGCATTATTAGCCTCGAATACCAGAATTCTTTGAACCTTGATTCAGGGCAAACTTGAACATTTCTTTTCTTAGTGCTTTAAGCAGGTGCAACCTTCGTCCTGTGGATCCAGGAGCGTTCCTCCCATCAAGGCTGAGTGCCTTTCAAATTACATCAGCAACAAAGACGAGTCCTGTTTTTTTTTAGTTACAATCCATCATGATGCTGAGTTCTGTAAAAAGCTGCTTCTATTTTTTTTTCTTTTTTCTGAGAAGTCTGAGATGTAATTTGCTCCAGCCAAGATAATGCTTGGTAGCGCTAAGCTAGGGGTACAGTATGACAGGGCTGCATGATGTGGATGAATCATCCGTTCTTTATCTCCTCTTTCTTGTGCTTTGGAGTCTGGTCCAGCCTTCACTGGGCGTCGTACTGCTAAGACTCCAGACAAACTGTCACTCAAGGTAATATGAGTGAACATTTTATTTACGGCCAAAACAAAAACTGCAGATTGCACCTAGAAAAAATATATTTTCTAAACTTCTCTAAGCACTTGACTGACTGACATCCCCACTAGCAAGATGTCACAATGTGGCAAAAACAAAAAAGACACGTGAAGTGACTTTCCATGTTTATTCCCACTTGATCTTACTGAAACTAATAATTTCAACTGAAAAACATATTTAATCTACAAAACATCACATCACTTGATTGGTAAACAGCCTCTAATAAAGGTGTATAAAGTCTTGAAACAAGTGATATTTACTTGCAGTGGAATCATCTCAAATTACAGATTTTGTTGCATGTTTCTAAAAATAAGCTCTGGAGATTTCTTTAATTTTGACAGCTTTTTTTTTTACTTTTCTGCACAATGGCACAGTTGGTGGCATTGCTTCTTTGCAGTATGAGGGTCCTGGTTTCAAATCACAGCCTGCATGGAGCGTGCATGTGGAGCTGAACCACGTGCACCAGGTTTTCCTTGTTTTTGATTATTTTTGCAGTTTTTGTTTTTACCCAACATATATACATAAAACAATATTTACTGTCAAAGAAGAAATGTACCACAGATTATTTGATAAAGGTAGTTCTTATTTTACTAGGTCTAAAAGCAAAATGTGCAAAAGAGAACATGATGTTTTGTTAAGTTTATGCAGTTGAGGAATTCGACTGTTTTTTAGTCTAAGTTTCTGGTCATTGCTAATCACAAAAAAAAATCAGTCAGGTTGGCAGGAAGTCATTAAATCAAATTAGACCATTGGTTACTGAAATTGCTAGAAGGTTGATTAGACAAAAGGAGTGAGAAACAAAAATCTTAGTGCACTAAAAAAATCATTTAAGTTAAAAAAAATGTAAGGACAGATGAATGGATGAAAAAGGGAGTAGAGGGCTGGAAGTTACACGGCAATAAGTTGTAAATGCAACAGTATGTTGAACATGCAATTTGTTTAATTTGTGAAAATTAAATTTCCACTAATTTGCCTACTGTGACAAAAAAAAAAAAAACAGTTCACAACAGCACAAACACTTTAATGACCACAGCCGTAATGACTCGACCAAAATAATTGGAAGGCAGTGGACTGAAAAAAAAGCCCCTGATGTCAGCCAATAAGTTAATGCAGGGTAATTACCCGCCTATACTCGGTCCGGCCGCGCTGATCCGAAACGACAACAGTACATTATGATGCCCGACACAAGTGTGCACATTAGCATTAGCAGCCTCAGGGCCCTCAGTGTACCTGTCACGCTTCTCTGCCGCCACAGCCTGACAGACTGATGCTGTCTCATTAAATGTAGAGAAACAGACTCCTGCATCACTGTGTTTGTGTGTGTGATATATATTATGCTGTGAGGACCTAGACATATACACATTGTGGAGACCAAACGTTATATGAACATTAAAATTAGCTGGCTAGAAAACAAGGCTTTCAAGCTAGCGTAACTGTATTAGCTAGGTAGGAAATGAGGAACTCTGTTAGCTAGTCAGAAGACAAGGGGGACTCTGTTAGCTAGTTAGAAAACAAGGGGGACTCTGTTAGCTAGTTAGAAAACAAGGACAACATTAGCTAGCTAGGAAACGAGGGACTCTGTTAGCTCGTTAGAAAACAAGGACAACATTAGCTAGCTAGGAAACGAGGGACTCTGTTAGCTAGTTAGAAAACTGGGGAACTCTGTTAGCTAGCTAGCTAGAAAGCCTACATTAAATGGAACTATCTAATTTATTTAAGTTAGCTTAGTTTTTTTAAGAGAGCTAAGTTAATTTTATCATTAACGATGATGAAAAGGTCTATTTGCATTTTAAGGGCCATGTAAAACGAGGCAGTTCTTTTGCACTAATGTGTGAGCCTGCAGGTCCACTGCTCGACTTTTAATCACCTCACTGTGCTGATGGGAGAGTCCATGCAGAAATCAGATAGGGAGCAGCAAAGCAACACTCTGAAGGATAATTTATGAGACTCGACAAGGAGAGGTCTCTAACAGAGTTAAACAGCCTGTCACTTCCAGATGCAGTGACTATAAAATGTATTCATCCCTTTGAATGTTTCATCCTTTTTATTGCTTCTAAAACAGTCAATTATGGTCGACAAAATATTGTTTTTTTTTGACAAATGTACAAAAAAAACCTTGATTTCTACAAAACAATTAAAAATATTTAACAAAATTAGGTGAGAGTTCGATGAAGCGTTGACATTTCTCGTCTGTGTCTCCAAAAAGCCAGTGCATTTATTGAAAGTAACAGATACAAATTAAAAGGTTGTGATTCCATTACTTCAATTAGAGTCCAGCAGAAGAAGGAAAAGATACCACAAGTGTTTGTGGGCGAGCCAAAACCATTTGTCCAGAATCGGATTTACATTAATGAGCATGTGTGTGTGTGTGTGTGTGTGTGTGTGTGTGTGTGTGTGTGTTTTTCCTCCAGATGATGAACGCTGTGCAAGCAAAGCTTTAAAGAGTTTCAAAGCACAGTAATTCACATCCCGGGGGACACCTTTGTGGAAGCACCCAAAGATAATACAGGTTGTTTTGTTTTTTTCAGTCCTATGATCACCATCTTAGCATAAAGACTTGAAAAACGTCTGAATCCATTAAATATTCATACTCCTCAAGCCTGGAATCCCATTATGCATCAGTTCCCAATCCTATAAAACAAGCAAACTGCTGCTGTGGCTGGAAATAACACAATTTTCCCGTATTCATTAACATTATCTGATTCCAGTATGGAAGTGGGCCAGGATCCTCATCGGCCCCATAGGCACTTCCAGGAACGGCTTGGAAGAACCAGTCCGCCTGCTGCGGTACTGACGGAGTCCCGGGAGCCTCTGGGAGACTCCACGGGGTCCCCAAAGGAAAACAGGCACGAATGAAAAATGGCTCCATTTCATTTACTTAAATGAAGAAAAATGAAGACAAATGGAGTCATTTTTTCTATTGCTGGAAGGTTTTAAAGTCCCACAGATCGTATGCTACATTTTTCTACCAGACCTTTCAATAGCTTTGCTGTTATAGAAAGCACAGGTACGTCTTCAAAGTGAGCCTAGTGTACGTTTCACATTTACACTGGTCATGTTTTAGAGAATATCTGACAGATGATAATGAAAGTGTAGGTGCAGTCTTACTCACATTATTATACAAACTTTGAAATTTAAATGTGTCTGCATAAAAAGATGAGGTTTGACCTTTTTCATGTTCTTCCATGTTGAAGGAGCCTCATTAATCTTCACAGGCGGCCATTTTGAATATAACACAAGCAGATCACTGAACCTCTTCCTCAGGACGAAATAAAAAAATGTGAAATGGTAAAATTATGCTGCATGTTGATGATAAATGTCGGAGGGTTATGTTTATGACTTTAGTTCACGTTACGTCCATGTAGGATCACACTAGCCTTTAGAAATTCAAGTAATTAGCACAAGCTAATGCTAGCATGTTTACCATTCACACTTTGACCAAAGAACTCGTCAAAAATTATAGAGACTTTGAGTTTGGATATCCAAACTTACTGACATTAGGAAGTCTTTTTTAATCTGATTTATTTTAATGCTGGATAAAATTTAAAATAAAAATAGTTAATTTTAAAATATTGTCTTATCTTGAGCTAGTATTTTGCTACTGAATTAAATCTCAAGTTAAGTCAGTTTAATCTGTTTTTTTTTTTGTTTAAAACCCAACAAATTTTCAGCTTAAAGCCAAAGCCCAACTATGTTGTGTTAAATTAACCTAGAACTGGATTTGTTCAGATTTAACTAACAAAATAACCCAATTTAAGATGTTTTTAAGACCATCGTTACATTGGAATATATTGAAAATCTAATAAACCAAACCAAAAACGTTGACATACACGTTCAAATTTCCATTTACGCATACATTTCTGGGAATATGATTAATTTCTGAGCTTTCAAATATTTACTATAGCTTTCAAATATGCCATATATCAAGAAATGTGTCGTTCCATGATAAATATTAACCAAACATAGTTTCATTGGAAGCCCGAGAATATTGAAAAATCTTTAAATCTTTTCTTGCACTAGCATTTTTTTCAAAAAGATTTACAACAAAAACAATCTGTCTTTAGTTTCAGTCCACTTACTCATCGGAGGAAACGAAATGTATGTTAGGAAAATGCCTATGTTTTAATGCTGGTTCCCCAAACAATCCATTTAATATGAATGTAACCAAAATACCAGTTTATGTTCTACTTCTTAAAATTAGAGTTTACAGAATAATTTTAGTAGTCAATTCCTTTCTCCTTGCCTGTGCTTTAAATATAAAATTTTTCATCCAAACCAAAAGTCTGCAAGAGAACCAAATGCAAGAAGTTTTTATGAAATTATTTCAACCAAAGACAAAAAAAAATGTCCTGACTTTTTCCTCTGCTTGAAAACATACATCATATTTGTGTATTAAATTGAGTAAAACTGGGTCAATTTTTGTTGAAACATCAATATGTGACTTCTTAAGGACATAATCTTGAATGGGGTTTTCTATTTTTTTCACATCACCGTATTAATATAAACGCAGGCGCCTAAATGTCGCAGAAAACAACGACATCTGCAGATAACCGAGAGCCAACAGTTCACCTTAAACTGCAGGGTCAACACAATCAAAACCACATTAGACACTATGAGACTGAAGCAATGAATGCAGCCATGCAGTCTCTCAGCATGCAGCAGGGAGATGTGCAGCTTCGGATGTTGTGTTCTGCGCTACAGGAGCACACAGACGGCAGGTGAGCCCCCCTGAAGTCTACTCACTCAGAGCGCTTTCCGCTCCATCACATCACAGAGTCCAAGTCCCGAGTCCGAGTCTCCGCGGCGGCTCTTCACTCAGCTTCACACCGGGCTCGGAGCAAGCCGACCGGGAACCGGACGAGCAGAAAAGCCCCGCACTATGCGCTCATTCGTGTGCTGTGCGTTAGAAAAGTAGTAGAAGAAGAAAACCTTTCACTGTTTTCTAAATATTTACCGGAGGATTCTGGCTGCGCGACCTGCTTCCTTTGCGGGATTCTCCTTGGGAACTGTGCTGCCTTCAGGAACTGCTCGTAAAACTTGAATGAATGGAATTTCTTCTTCACTTCCCTCTCGTAGGTCAGTGGTCGTGAAGGGATTGTAGCAGTTTGATTTATTTTAGTTAGAACTCATTGAAGCATTAAAGTACAATAAAAAATACTACAGAGTTTATGAAGAGATATGGAAAAGAAGAAAACAAAAACACAATCTAAAGAATAATTTTTGTATTTGACATTTTTAAAACTGCACAGCGGATGTGAACTATTATTCCACCTAGTGTTAAATCAATAACTTTGAAGCGGAAATCCACATTATAGATCAGTTTTAGTTTGGTTGTGTGAGACGCACACTTACACTTTGGTAAGTGAATGCAGCACAACCGTAACACAAGGCTCTAACCCCGCTCCTGATTGGTCCTGATGGGAAAGAAGCAGCCACTCAGCCCCATGTGCCCCTCTCCTTCATCCCCCTTTCCACTCAGATCAGCAGTCTGATACCTTCTCTGGGGGATGCACGTAGTGACCAATTTAAAGATTTATATCTTGCAAAAATATAGTTGAGTCACGCTGTTAGTTAAATGACATAAGTGAGAAATATAATCAAGCATTGCCAATCAAATAGACACGAAAATAAACTGGGAAATGCAAACGTAAATGTAATCTTCAACGTATGACTAGATTTTCTTTTCTTTTTATATTTTTCCATCTGTGCATAGCATGCATTTCCACAGAAAACACCGAGGGAGAACGTCCGTCAAACAGTTTCTGAGCTTAACCTCAAACACATTTGGGTTATGCAGCAGGACAATAATTCAGAACCCCCAGCAAGCAAATGAATGAATGGTTTAAAATAACAAAACAAAGTTTTTACAAGGCCTAGTCAAAGTTGAGACTTAAATTCTATTGAGAGATCTTGGCAGGATCTTAATTAGGATCTCTAAGCTTTAAAATCAGCTGAATTAAAACAAGTCTACAAAGCAGCGTGGGCCAAAAATGTATCCACAGTGAGATAAAACACTTATTACCATTTACTTAATATTGGAAATACATATTTAGGTTATAAGTATTTTCAATGTCAGAGCTCTAAATTGGAGATCGGGACCAAACTCAAAAAAAAAAAAAAAAAGAAAGACATGAATGAATACTTTTACAAAACTAGTATGTACTTGGCATGCAATCCTTTATAAACACTGGATTTCAGCTGAATTTCTTAGCCTGGAGGCACATGTGAAAATCTTTGGAATATGAATTAGTCCATAAATCTTGCATGAAATGATTTAATGTGCATGTCTTCTGAAAAAGAATGCAAAAAGCAGGAAAGTGGTGTCATTATTCATCCTGACTGCTTAATTATTTTTAAGGATATGTACTTCAAACCCACAAATTGTGGCCTATTATGATCCAAGTATAAGTGGGTGTTATACACTTTTTCTTTTTCTTTGCAAGGTCTGAATTTCTTATTTGGATTGTGTGAACCCAGTGTTAACTTGTATCAAAGTATGCTTTTTTTATGTTGTAGAATATGATGTGGAATCAGGGTTTGCTCCATTTTGCAGCATCATCTGCAAACCAGCTGCAACAATGAGCTTTAATAACAGGTCACAGACTCCCCCAGCCCCTGCAGACAGGTGTTATCATTTCACTCAGCACTGCCTCCAGGTTACAGCCGGGGACTGCCCCGCTGTGGCTCGAGGATACAGTTGCTCAGAGACCATAAACCTCTCCTCCCACAGTCCAGGGGCAACCCCATGAAGTAACTGATATCACTGGAGGACAGTCAGTGTTTACCTCCAGCCATGGAAACGGACCCACGCTGGCGTCTTTTCACATGGGATTCAGACACAGTGAAACAGGATTCCGGGCCTATTGTTAACCTCCCCGGTCAAATTTCAAAGCTCCGTAATCTTTAAAGGGTTTTGATCACAAAAGGAGAAACGGATGAAAGTCGCGAAGACTGTCAAAATTAATCTTCTTCCTCTCCTGAGTCCACATGCGGGTTGTACTCCTTCGAACACACGCGTTTTATGTCGTGTGTTCAAAATCATTTTTCAGCTGGAATCACTACTTATCTTCCCACCTAATACCTTCCGCTTACGCCCACCTTGGTGAGTCGTGTCAAGCAGGAAGAAGACAGCAGGACGGTGAACCAGTTGGCGATAATCTGTTCATGTAATCTTCACATTTCAGTTGCCCTGGATGCTGATCCTTTAATGTTTGAAGGCAGCAACGCATATGGCCTCAACAAATTTCAGGCAAAGCAGGATTTAAGGCTTAGGATGCATTAACACTTTAAAGTAAGGAAAATACATTATCTTTACTGCCTCAAGGTTCATGAAGCTCTAAGCCCCCGAAGACGGCAACACTTGAAAATGCAATCAGTGGGTTATAGCTCTAGTGGCTCTTTAGTTGAAGGCCTCCAGGAGATGCACAGTGAACCTGAGCAGTTCAGTCAAGTCATGCTATACATTTAGTTTTGAAACTGGTGTTCCCACTTCCCCGCCACCCCCCCCCCCCCCCAGAGTTTTGGTTATTTTTTTATTATTTTTTCTCCCTCCAGGTCTGACAGTAATCAAGCTGATTTGTGGTCTGTGAAACTAAAGCAAAAATATACTTAACTGCAATTTATTCACAATGTAACAAAGAAGGTAATTCAATTTCTATACATGGCTAGACCTGGGGAGCTACTGTGTAGCAATACATATAAAGATATTAAAAGAGTTTTTTTTTCTCTCGTTTGTTTTTTGTTTTTTGGTAAAAACTGAAACTTGATCATTTTCTGAGGCAAAAATAACCATATCAAGGAATACTTTCTTAATACCATCATTATATCTTGCTGAAATGATGTGGCATCCCCATAGTATATTTAATAACTCTGAAAATATTTATAAATTCGGGCAAATTTGTTTTCCTGTACCACTTGTCTTAACATAAAGATTGGACACAAAAACATGAAAGGTTGAATTGAAACGTCACATTTCAGATGACAGGTGTTTAACCAATGACAAAAACATACAAAAACGCTCTAACCAATCATAATGAAGTAGATATCAAAAGAGGCGGGACTTAACGGTGCCTCTAGCCGTACCTGGTTATCGGATTAAAAAGCCCAGAGGAAACTAAAGTTTACTGCCAATGAAACTCACAGAATGAATGGGACCGCTTATTCCAACTTTGACAACCAGGAACATGTTTTGAAACTAGGAGAGACGTTTGAGAAACACCCTAAAAGTGCCTACCACACGGTCCGATGTAAGTGGCGTTTGGACTCAGTAGGTGACGTCTGCCTGTTACTTTAGCTAGCAAGCAGCACGCTAGTTAGCCTGTAAGCTACACATCCGGAGTTTGTTCTTGGCTTGTACTGTTGCTAGAACAGCCTTCTTGGTGACTTATTGCAGTCGAACGGCTTCCCCTGTCTTCTTGAAAAATGACAACCGTTTCAGACTTATGTGTCATTTAGCTTTTAGCTATTAAAAACTACTACAGTTTCACGCTGTCGAAGTGGAAGCTAATGTTAGCGCTACCTCAGACTGTACTCTACCACCACCTTGTGGTCGAGGCTTTCAAGTACACCATATTGGTCGCGCTCATTTTAAGCAAATTTTAAAATAACCGTCTCTATTAATGTCTTCCTGTTACAATTGTGAAACTAAATATTCTCATTTCCCTCCACAGATGATTTCAAACCAGCTTCTATTGATACAACATGCGAAGGAGAGCTCGAAGTGGGCAAAGGAGAGCAAGTCACTATTACTTTACCGAATTTAGAGGTTAGAAAATACAAAAATGAGTTTGACTATTTTCAGTGGATTTCAGTTTACTGTGAGATTTAATATAACTTAGTCAATTTTTTTCTGATGTGTTCTTAAAGATAAATAGTAAGGACCTTAATACTGGCTGAAAATTTATTTGAGTTATTTATTTATTTATTTTTATTGTTATTTATTTATTTCCCTCTTCCCGACGATTTAAGGGTTCAAGTGCTCCAGTCACAGTGTTCAAGGGATCTAAGAGGCCGTACATGAAGGAGTGCATCCTCATCGTGAACCATGACACAGGGGAGTACAGGCTCGAAAAACTCAACAGCAACATAGCTGTCAAGAAAACAAGGTGAGCTAAAATAGCTGGGTGTATGTTTAACAACCAGAGCCTTTCTGCTGGGAAGAGTCTTTTTAGAATTGTGGTATTAATGGTTAAAAATATGTAAAAAAAGAGACCAATTTTTGTCTTTCTTTACATGGCTTTCCAGAGCTGAAGGCAGCAGTAAAATTCACTCTCGGCTGGAGCAGCAAACGAGCCGTCTGAGCCAGCAGATGAAGGGAAACGGCAACAATAAGACCTCGACCAGCTCCAAGAGCTCTCCTCCCAAGGAGAAAACGTCTTCAGCATCTCCAATGGATGACATCGAAAGAGGTACCGTGCCAAACTACTTTCAGCGAAAAGAAGAAGAGGATGTTGCCAAGTCTCCCGGATTTTCTCTCCCTCTTTAACTTGCGCTGTGTTTCTGCAGAGCTGATGGCGGAAGCGCGCGTCATGGATCAGATGAGCAGCAGCGACAGCTCTTCGGACTCCAACAGCTCGTCGTCTTCGAGCAGCGAAGACAGCTCCAGCAGCAGCGACTCGGAAGACGAGCGTAACCCTGCGCCGCCGCCTCTCCCTCTCGCCCCGACCAACCAGAGCATGCCTGTGATCAGCACCGGCACCAATCACGTGACAAGTCTTCACCAAGAGGGCGGAGGAGGCCTCATTATGAACACGCTCAGTAAGTCGCACAGACCACTTCTGAAATGAGTCTCCTTTGTGTTTTTGTTGTTGTTTTCAATCAGGTGCAGTTCAGTTGTGCAACGATTGGATTTTATTATATTTATCTTTTAGAATGCCACTGGGTGGCTCCATTTATCAGTTTGCTACTTAATGTAAATTTTAAACGAGGGACAAATAAAGGATTATCATTGTGTTTCAAGGTAAATCTGGAGCATATAAAACATTTTTTCACACTGGAAGTAAGGATCTGGCACTTGCAA